TGGAGAGCTTTTCCCCTAACATCAGGAACAAGACAAGGATGTCCTTGCTCACCTCTTTTATTCAACACAGTACTGCAAGTCCTAGCCACAGCATTGTATCTAGGAATAAACTTATTCAAAGAGGTGAAAGACCTGTACTCTGAAAAAACACTGATGAAAGAAATTCAAGATGACACAAAGAAATGGAAAGACACTCTGTGTTCATGGACTGGAAGAAGAAATATTGTTAAAATGTCTCTATTACCCAAAGCTATCTACAGATCTAATGCAATCCCTATTAAAATACCAACAGCATCTTTCACAGACCTAGAACAATCCTCCCATTTGTATGGAATCAAAAAAGATCCCAAATAGCCAAAGCAATCTTGAAAAACAAAACTGGAGGAATCACAGTTCCTGACTTCAAGTTATATTACAAAGCAGTAGTAATTAAAAGAGTATGGGGGTACCTGGCTGGCTCAATTGGTAGAGCATGTGACTCTTGATCTTGGGGTTATAAGTGTAAGCCCCATGTTAGGTGTAGAAATTACTTAAGAAAAATAAAATAAAAAAAATAAAACAGTATGGTAGCAGTATAAAAATACACATAGATCAATAAAATACAACAAAAAAAAAACAAAAAGAAATGCGCAATTACATGGTCAATTAATCTTGTCAAAGGAGGAATGAATATACAATGGGCAAAAGACAGTTTCTTCAATAAATGAGGTTAGGAAAATTGGACAGCCACATGCTGAAGAATGAAACTGGACCACTTTCTTTCACCATACTCAAAAATTAACTCAATTGTGAGACCTGAAACCATGTAAATCCTTGACAGAATATAGGCAGTAATCCGACACTGGCCATAGCAACATTTTTGTACTTAACGTCTCCTGAGTTGAGGGACTACATCAAAATAAAAGGTTTCTGCACAGTGAAGCAAACAATCAACAAAACTAAAAGTTAAGGGGCACCTGGGTGTCTCAGTCAGTTAACAGTCCACCTCTTGATCTGAGCTCAGGTCATAATCTTAGGGTCCTGGGATGGAGCCCCGAGTTGGACTCTGGGCTGGATGTAGAGCCTGCTTAATATTCTCTCCCTCCCTCTCCTTCTGCCCCTCCCCCTCCTAAATGTCAACCTACAGAATGGAAGAAGATATTTGCAAAGGACATATCTGATAATTTCCAAAATATATAAAAAAAACAAAATTCAACACCCCGAAAACAAACAATTCAATTAAAAAATGCAAAGACATGAACACACATTTCTCCAAGGAAGACATACAGATGTCCAAGAGACACATGAAAAGATGCTCACCATTACTCATCATCTGGGAAATGCAAATCAAAACCACAAGATACCACCTCACACCCGTCAGAAAGGCTAAAATTAGTAACACCAGAAACATCAAGTATTGATAAGGATGTAGAGAAAAAGGAAGTCTCATGCACTGTTGGTGGGAATGCAAACTGGGGCAGACACTGTGGAAAACAGAATGAAGGTTCCTCAAAAAAGTAAAAATAGAACTACACTATGATCCAGTAACCACACTACTGCTATTTACCTAAACAACACACACACACACACACACACGCACTCATACTCACACTCATACCATGGAGTCAAAGTTACTAAAATAGGACTTCCACTGATTTTCCAAGTAGCAAGAAAGCAACCCAACTCAACCACAAAAATCAGTTTCCTTAAGACAAACACAAAACAATCAATAAAACAGATTAACATAGTTTTCTTAAAGCAGTAATTCTTTTAGAAACTCTGGTCATAAATCAATAGTTACATAAGGGACTAGGACCCTTGACCTCAGTTCCTTGCTAGTATAATGGGGGCAAAAAAAAAGTTCTTTTCAGTGATTGAAGAACAGGTGCTTTAATATATACCATGTTGTTTGAGAAGACACTCCCTTGAGTTTACCTTAAGAGCTAAGGATCTCATCATTTCACACAGCAGTCTTGCTCTTAATTCCTCCATGGCCATGGAACTCCTTACTCAGCCATTGGCTGTGCTGAGTCAGAGAATAAGCCTCCAGCATTCTGACAGCAATCTAGGAGTTTAAAGGTTTCTTTTGAAGGTTTCAACCAGTTGGGTTTTGGTTTTTTGTTTTTTTTGGTTTTTTTTTTTTTGGTTTGGTTTTTTTTTTTGTTTTTCAGCTGTCTACCCCACCTTCCGAAGTATCCTATAGCTCTAATTCCTGAACCTTTCCAAGGGCCTGGGACTTCAACCAAAATGCTTCTTCGCAGCTGTTCCCACTTCCCTAGGACCGTTAAGTCTGATTGATTACCATGCTGTTCTTCCAACATTTTGTCATCATCTTTTATCTACTCCAGCACCTCTTACATTCATTTTCCCTTGTGTGGCTATACTATTTCTAGTCTCTTTGGGTGGGTAAATGCAAGACTGGAAATAATGCCATTTAAACATGTGTTTAACTCAAACCAAAACCAGCTACATTTCTTTACATTTCCCTAACCCCAATTTAAGAATTGTGGACCAATGGGGCACCTGGGTGGCTCAGTCCTTAAGCGTCTGCCTTCGGTTCAGGTCATGATCTCAGGGTCCTGGGATCAAGCCCCGCATCGGGCTCCCTGCTCAGTGAGGAGCCTGCTTCTCCCTCCCCCACTCCCCCTGTTTGTGTTCCCTCTCTCGCTGTCTCTCTGTCAAATAAATAAAATCTTAAAAAAAAAAATTGTGGACCAAACTTCAGAGGTGAAAGCTCTTGTACACTGTAGTTTTAAATTGGCTCAAAATTCCAGAAGACAGATCACACCATAAGGGTCATTTTTTCTTGATTATCCTTCTTAGTCAAGATTAAGAAGTAAAGATTACTCACAGCAACTTCTCTGTGAGATGGCAAAAGTTTGAGAAAGGAAAATCCTAACTTATGAGGGACAAAGGAGCTTTGAAATCAAATTCCACACTATCCATATTCACAGCTCCCAGAGGTCAAGGAGAGCGAACACTGTCCTAAAATAAACCAGATGACAGACTGTGGTGACACCCAATTACAGCTTTTCTGATTTGGGATACTGAGAGCTGTGCTTCCCCTTAGTAAATGGTAAGCATGCATAATTTCACCAAAGAGCAAAAGGTAAGAATTTTACAACACACTTTATGCTTCCATTTCCTTTCCTTATTTGAACCTGAATAATTCAGGGGGAGGAGGAATAAATAACCTAGGCTTTTGAGCACCATGCTCTAGGAAGCCTATTAGCAGTCAAGAGAATGCCCTTCCTTTAGGAAATGGCTCAGAAGCACCCATACCTAAACCCCTGTAATGCAAGGTTTCCAAGGATTTCCTGAAACACACCCCAAATATAAGCATCCTTTAAGTTATTCAGGTATTTTAACAGTGACAAAAATGAGCCCCAGAGTATTTCAAAATGGAGATTTAAGTAGTTACTATTAGAATTTTATCACTGCTGTTATCAAAAGAAAACACATATTCCCCCTTTTCCATAAACAAGGTCTTCCCAGAACATTCTTTTACTTTAAAAGATTTTTCCAGTAACCACCTATCTCAGGCTCCCTCAGAAGATGAAACATGCTAATAATCCAAATTTCCTTCACAGGAAGGAAAATTAAATGTAAAAAACACTGTATTCTGCTACATCTGATAATTAAGCAGTTAGATTCTGCTGGCCAAAATCCATTGTTCCTGTAATACTACCTACATAATGAGCTATGTTGTCATAAGGTCTAGCATCCAATACTGTAGTTAAATGATGCATACCCAGATAAAAGGTAGACTACAGAATAGGGGAAGCACCTGGAACTGTTTCAGTGTTTGTCTGAGTTTCATATGGAACCACCAGCCTGATTACTTGAATCAAGGGTGATTAGGGCTCTTCATGCTTCCGTTTTCCAAATGCCAACATTTAGGAAGATAACCATACACAAAGCAACTTGGGCCCTTTGGCTTCTGTTGTGTGTGCAGCATCGTGGGGCAGGGAGAAGATCTTTTCTGGATAATAGGCTACTGTCCTTTGATTAGTAGCAACTCATTAGCTTAGTCTTCATCAAAGCCACCTGCAAAGGCTATGCTAAAAGAGGTCATCTCTCTTGAGATACAAAGGGCTCATGTCAAGGTTTAACATCCTATCACAAGACCACCCTGGCTTCAAGACGTTTCAACACCTTCGCAACACGTCTAAGGACCTTTGCAACTTGCCCTATTTCTACCCCTCCAGCCTCACCCCACGCTCATATTACTGGCCCTCTAAAGCGAGATAAATAGCACACCCCCTTTTCACCTCACTAAGGCTCCCCTAGTCCTCCCACCCCCATTCCCTCTCCATATCCCCTACAAGTCAGTGCATTTTGTAACAGGCTAAAGCACAAATTGGACCTAACTTCAGAATCTCGCCCCCTTAAATCCATATCCACGTTGAAAAGCTTGGATTAAATTCTGCCCCTCGGTACACTTTCAGCACCTCTTAATCAACACAGGGTCATAAGAGATACTTCGCTAGTGTTTATAAATGAATGGATAAAGCGAACCAAGGTTCGTATAGTCAGATGCACAAGTAAAACTCCAATTCACGCATGCACGGAGAGTGCAAATAAGAGACTGAGAAAAAGGCAGAGACAGAAGAGACTCCTGAAAAGGCTTGCTTGTCGTTAGGCCACACTGGGGCCACTGTTAAGACTAAATGTCTCTTAGTCCCAACCTATGCTTTCCTTCCTTAGTCCAACTCCACGAGCCGAGCTCCCCCCCACCCCCCCGCCCGACGGCCTGGGCACAGAAAGGGCTCTGTGGGGCAGCCCCCGCTTGCATGCCGGTCTGCTAGAGGAGCAGAGCCGCCCATCTCTAAACTGCAAGCGAGGACGGAGCCCGAGTCGGCGGCGGAGACTGAGCGGGTCGGGTCGGCCCCGCAGTCCGCCGAGAGAAGGCGCCAGCGCGAAAGCACCACCAGGGGCAGGTGTCGCGGGCTGCCCTAGGCGGGCCGGGACGGAGCCGGAGGCCGGGCCGGGGACCCGGGGCGCGCCTGGCGCCGCATTACCTCTCCAAGGCCTGCAGGGTGTAGCTGATGAGCGGCCTCTCCAGGATGGGACAGAACTGCTTCGGGGTGGGGACGCCCATCCTCTCCCCGCTCCCCCCCGCCGGCAACACAGCAGCCACGGCGGGAGCGCGGCGCCGGGGCTGGGCCTCGGCCCCGGCCGGGTTCAGCGAAGAGGCCGCGGCCGCTTGCTC